TATAGCCCCAACTGGCCTGGAACTCACTATGTAGACCAGGCTGACCTTGAACTTAGATCTGCCTCCTTTTGTCTCCCAAGTGCTAGGATTAAAGGTGTGTACCACCATTCTCCACTTGCTTATTTGGGGAGGGGGGTAACTTTTGGGTTTTTTTTTTTCTAAGATTTCTGTGTGTCTGTACTGTCTGTGTGAGTGCATGTGTACTTATGAATGCAGTTGCCCACAGAGGCCAGAGGGGCATCAGATCCCTTGAGAGTTGGAGTAATGGGTGTTTCTGAGCTGCCCAAATGAGGATACTGGGATCCAAACTCTATCCTCTGATAGAACAGTAGGCACTCTTAACTGCTTGCTTTTGTTTTTTGAGAGAGTCTCATCCTGTAGCCCAGGCTAATCTCAATTTTGTGGCACTCCTCTTGTCTTAGCCTCCTAAGTGCTGAGATTATAACGTACCAGACTTGTTACTGGTTTGTTTTGTTTCATTTTAAATATAAAGATTATAGCATTATAGAACTGAGCAACAGAGTAAATCCTCAGGATCTTCCATTAAGAGAAAATCATTGTTAAAAGTTTAGGGAGGTGTATGTGTGTGCATGTGTAAGCATGTATTATAGACTTCAGATACAGGTTGGGACTGTGGCTCCCTTGGTAGAATGCTTGCCTACTATGCATGAAGGCATGGATTTAATCTCTAGCGCTGAATAAACTGACCAGGTGTGGTGGCACCTGTCTGCAATCCCAGCACTCAGGTCATGAAGGCAGGAGGATCACAAGTTCAAAGTCATCCTTCAATATATAGTGAGGTTGAGGCTACATGAGACCCTACCTTAAAAACACAAAACCAAGCCGGGTGTGGTGGTGCACGCCTTTAATCCCAACACTCGGGAGGCAGAAGCAGGCGGATCTTTGTGAGTTCGAGGCCAGCCTGGTCTTCATAGTGAGTTCCAGAACAGCGGGGGCTACAGGGAGACCCTGTCTCAAAAAGACAAAAAAAATAATAATAGTAATGCAATGATAATGCATTCTCTACGGGGAACTTGACAAGGCCTGTATGTTCATATTCTGTCCAACCTTTCTAAATAATGTCCCTTTTTTCTGTCATATGTTGGTATTCAGGAGAGAAGGTGGAAGAAATTTTCTGTTTCTGTGGCTTTTCAACAAAATAAACCTCATAAATAGAAGCACAGAGAATCCAGCAGTTTACTGTTTGGTTTCAGTCAAGGTCAAATGTGAAGTCTTTTAATCCTTGGGATAATCCTGTGGGATGCTGGTCTCTGCTTTGATAGTCTACAATGGGCTCTGTAGCGGCAGCATCTAAGACCTTGTTAGAAATGTAGAATTTTAGATAGCACCCTAGAGACTGACACAGAATCCAAATTGTGACAAGTTCTTCCCCATTTATTTGTGTATATATTATAGTTTGAGAACTGTTTTGTGCCCCATTTAACCTATTTGTAGAGTAGGAAAAGACCTGGGATGAGCTTTGAGCACCCTCAGCACAACCAGGGTGGAAAGAGCTTCCCTTCAAGTGAGACGTGGCCCTGGCCTCCAAACAAAGTTGGTGTTTCCTTCCTCTTGCCATCACCAAACTTTAATACTTAAAACTTGTCTTCTCTCCTCCAGGAGCTGGTCGCTGTCATCTAAGCAAGGTAGGGACTGGCCGGCGCCCACCTCCAGCTCGAGTAAGGGTGGCTGTACGACTGCGGCCATTTGTGGATGGAGCAGCTGGAGCAAATGAACCCCCCTGCGTGCGAGGCATAGACAGCTGCTCTCTTGAGGTTGCCAACTGGAGAAACTACCAGGAAACCCTCAAATATCAGTAAGGTTCAGCCCACTTTCCTCTCCTGGGCCTGCTTACCTTATCACTTTCGCAAAGTTGCTGAGACCTGTCTCTCAGGATCCTATTCCTTGCTTAGCACAATTTTGTTCCCCAAACCTTCCTTTTTTCATTCAAGAGATGTTCATGGTATACACATGGAAAAAGACTAGAGGTTGAGTCAGATGTCAGTCTTGTGGGGGAAATTGGAATAGGGAAGAAGTAGCAGCAGAGAGGAGCAGGGATGTTCCAAATACGTTCTGGAAAAGGGGCTAGGCAGCCAAGCCAGGCTGCAGCAGCATAGAGTCGGAGACCATTGAGATTTGGGGGTGAAACACAAGAGGGCGACTGCTTTCAGATTCCTTCAGGGCTAGGCATGGTGGTGCACACCTTTAGTCCCAGCACTTGGTAGACAGAGGTAGGGGGCCATCACAGCTGGCCTGGTCTACAGTGAGTTCAAGACCAACTGGGGCTACAGGGAGACACTGTCTCAAAAGCACTAAAAAAAATTAAAAATAGGGGGCTGGAAAGATGGCTCAGTGGTTAAGAGCACTGGCTGCTCTTGCAGAGGACCCAGGTTCAGTTCCCAGCACCTATAAAGCAATTCACAGCCATCGGAAACTCCAGTTTCAGAGGATCCAACACCCTCTCCTGACCTTCATAGGCATTTCATGCGTAGGCCTTACATACATGCATACAAAACACTCATACACATAAAATAAAAATAAAAAGTAAAATTCCATTGGGGGTTTTAAAGTTCAAACTTCTTGGTTTGGTAGTCTTATGTAGAGGGCAACCAGATCACAGCCTGCAGGTCAAATCCAACCTGAAGTGATTTGTTTTGTTGTTGTTTGTTTACTTGTTTGGTTTGGGTTTTTTGGACCAGCTTCTCATATAACCCAGACTGGCCTCGAACTCATAATGGTCCTCGTCCCTCTACCTCTCAAGTGTGGGGATCACCATGTGTGCTGCCATGCCCAGTTCAGATTTTTTGAAAATAAAGGTTTATAATTTATTTACATATTGTAGCTGCTTAATTAGTCTTAGAGTGAAGTAGTTGTGAAAAGAACCACATGGTTACAAAGCCTAAAATATTTGCTGTCTGGCTCTTTACACAAAGTTTGCTGGCTCCATTTTCAGACCCTTAATCATTTGGCTTCAGTTTCTTTCCGGCCTTCTCCTGTCAGTATGTACTAAATTCTCCATGTTAATGTATTGAATGGGGTATAGATGTGTTTGCATCCAGGCCAGTCAAAAGTAGTATCTTGTGGCTGGAGAGATGGTTCAGCAGTTAAGAGCATGTACTGCTCTTGCACAGGATCTGAGTTTAGTTCCCAGCACCTGTGTCAGGTGGCTCACAACCTCCTGTAACTCCAGCTCCAAAGGAATCCAACCCCTCTGGCCCATGCAGTCACCTGCACTCATATTCATGTACCCATTATACAAACACACTTAAATATAAATTTTTTTATTTTATTTTTTGTCTTTTTGAGACAGGGTCTCCCTATAGCCCCAGGTGTCCTGGAACTCACTATGTAGACAAGGCTGGCCTCAAACTCACAGAGATCCACCTGCCTCTACCTCCCAAGTGCTGGGATTAAAGGCGTGCGCCACCACACCAGGCAAATAAATCTTTTAAGAAAAGGGGAAAAAAGGCCATGTTGTATCCCTCTATCTACCCTCTTATAGTGTACAATCCTGCCTTCTACATGTCTACCACAAGAAAAACATTGGGAAACTGCCCTTTTGCAGCATGTCTGGTTCCTGTGTTGTTCTTTCCCTCTGTCTGGTGAATCTCCAAGCAGTCAGTTATTCCTTCTAGTATGTTCTCATTTTTGTTTCTGAATCATTGTAAAGTATAAGTAATCTATCCCCAGATTGCAAAACCGCCAAAAGCAGCAACATCAGAATCATTTCAGTTTCCCTAACATCAATACAGAGTAATACAGAGTAGCTATTATGTAAGAAAAGGGATAGGGACTTCAACTCTAAACTGGAAACCCCACTAATACCTGCTTTTCCTACCTACAGGTTTGATGCCTTCTACGGGGAGAGGAGTTCTCAGCAGGACATCTATGCGGGTTCAGTACAGCCCATCCTAAGGCACTTGCTGGAAGGGCAGAACGCCAGTGTGCTTGCTTATGGGCCCACTGGGGCAGGTAAGAGCCAGAAAGGAACTGTGCATCAGAAAGGGCTAGAGAGACAGAGAAAAAGCTCACAGTGTTCTCTACTCTTTCCCCAGGGAAGACACACACAATGCTGGGCAGCCCAGAGCAACCTGGAGTGATTCCCCGAGCTCTCATGGACCTCCTACAGCTCACAAGGGAAGAAGGTGCTGAGGGCCGGCCATGGGACCTTTCTGTCACTATGTCCTACTTAGAGATATACCAGGAAAAGGTGAGACCTATCTCTGGGTGGAGGTGTGAAAACAGTGTCCATAGTAATCAGATACCCTTCTGGAACGTGAAGCTCTACTCTAATATGGTAAACTGAGGCTCGGAAAGATAGAATTTGGGGTTACAAAACAATTCTGAGAATCCAGTAGAGAAAAGAAGCCTAATTTCCATGAAATACACAGCCTGTGCATGGAGAAATGGGCTTTGCTCTCACTGCTCATAGGTATTAGACCTCTTGGACCCTGCGTCAGGAGACCTGGTCATCCGAGAAGACTGTCGAGGAAACATCCTGATTCCAGGCCTCACACAGAAGCCTATCACTAGCTTCTCTGAATTTGAGCGGCACTTCTTGCCAGCCAGTGGAAATCGAACCGTGGGAGCTACCAGGCTTAACCAACGTTCCTCCCGTAGTCATGCCGTACTCCTGGTCAAGGTGAGGTCCACTGACAGATGGGAGGACTTGATAGGCCCCTGCAGTGTAAGCTAAGCCTGGGCCCCTTGCTCTTCCCCTAGGTGGATCAGCGGGAGCGTCTGGCCCCATTTCGCCAGCGGGAAGGAAAACTTTACCTTATTGACTTGGCTGGCTCAGAGGACAACCGGCGCACAGGCAACCAGGGCATTCGGCTCAAAGAGAGTGGAGCCATCAACACCTCCCTCTTTGTACTGGGCAAGGTGGTAGACGCACTGAATCAGGGCCTCCCTCGTGTGCCCTATAGAGACAGCAAGCTCACTCGTCTATTGCAGGTTATGACTACTCATGTTGGGTTAAAGGGGGCTGGAGGAGGTGGCTCTTAGACCTGTTGGTTGGAGTAAGGAGGTGTTGCCAAGGAGTAGGAAAGCTGGAATCTGACTCTAATCCCCACCCCTCAGGACTCTCTGGGTGGCTCAGCCCACAGCATCCTCATTGCCAACATTGCCCCTGAGAGACGTTTTTACCTGGATACAGTCTCTGCACTTAACTTTGCTGCTAGGTCCAAGGAAGTGATCAACCGACCTTTCACCAATGAGAGTCTGCAGCTTCATGGTGAGGACTAGGAAGACAGAGGTGGAGGAGTATGCTGAAGCCACCAAGCACCAGCACTAAGGCTGACTACTCTGATTCTTATGTCCCCTCTAATCTTCTCAGCCTTGGCACCTGTTAAGCTGTCTCAGAAAGAACTGCTAGGCCCATCAGAAGCAAAGAGAGCCCGAGGCCCTGAGGAAGAAGAGATTGGGAACCCTGAGCTTACAGCATCAGCAGCCTCTGCCTCCCAGAAGCTAAGGTGAGTAGTCAGGCCTTCCCTGTAGGTCGCACTACGGCTTAGCTTCTCAGCTCCTTGAGCAGAAGCATCTGTGTACTTACTCTTCCAGTGAATTCACTAAGTCCTACCTTGAAATTTATTGAAATGCTAAGATCAACCTGTCTTCTGTGCTAATCCACAGGACCTAGGGAGGTCTCCTTCTTGGGCTATTGACCCCCTCCCATTCCATTTTCCAGCCATTTTACTCTGTCAGCAAAACCTCACATTTTGGGGCCACTGTTTCGAGGATGAGCACTTCTGCTGGTTCAGATATTGGCTCCAGGGGATTGAGAGCAAAGCCAAGTTAGTCTTTTGTGTGTTAGACGCCAGCAACTCCAGGACTCTGAAGTGCCAATTGCTGCCCCAGCACTCTGCTTCTATTCTCAATCCCAACAAAGCCTCTTTTAAATCCCTTTTGTGTGTGGCCTCCCATCCTAGTTCTGATGGTCCTACTACCTCATGCCCAATGTATGCTAATCCCTAGTCACCTCTCTTCAGTGGTTGTGCATTCTGTCTGGCCTCTTGATCCTCTCTGACTCCAAGAAGCAAGTTGCACTTTTAACTTAGCGCTGTTTTGTTTGTACTCCTAGCCCAAATAAAGCCTTTCTAAGATGTGTAAGTGCCAAGACTGCTGAACAGAGGTGACTTGAGAAGGCAAGGATCACTGTACACTCTGCTTTAGGGTATTATAGTTGAAATGCTCAATCTGATCCCCTATTCTATGTGCACAGTCTGAAACTTACACTTATGTGTGAACAAACGAGCTTTGCCAAATTGGCATTCTGGATAAAGGCAGGCTCAGAAATGGGGCTGGAGAGATGGCGCAGCAGTTAAGAGCACTGGCTATTCTTGCCGAAGACCCAGGTTCGAATTCCAGCACCCACATGGCAGCTAACAACTGTCCATACCTCTAGTTCCAGGGGAGCCTATGACCTCTTCTGTCCTCTGGGGGCACTGCACGACAACAGGTGCACTTATATGCAGGCAATATACACATACACATAAAATAGAAATAATAAAATTTTTTAAAATAAATTATTCTACTGTACATTGCTTGCTGCTGCTTTCCTAAGGCACTTGTGGATAAAGAACAGGACAAACTCCAGGTGTGGTGGCGTGCCTTGAGGAACGAGTTCACTGTGACAAAGATAAACAAATGAACTCGGCATCATGAGAAGGGTGGTATTAACTTGACTTTAATTTTTTTAACTTATTTTTATGTGTATGAGTGTTTTGGCTGAATGTAAGTGTACTGCATGCACGCACTGCCTGAGGGGGTCAGAGGCAGGTGCTGGATCCCCTAGAACTGATGGTTGTTAGCTGCCATGTGGGTGCTGGGAACCAAACCCTGGTCCTCTGTGGAAGCATGTGCTCTTAACCACTGAGCCACCTCTCCAGCCCCAGTTTTTTGTTTTTTAATCAACTTGACTTTGAAAGATTCCAGGCAGAGGTATTAATGCTCAGGTAGCCAGGACTTTGCTACCACCCACTAGGTAAGGACTGGCATTTTACGTGGGTTTTTTTTTTTGTTTTTTTGTTTTTTTTTGGCTTTCACATCCCTACTAATGAGGAACTCTTTGTGAAGCTTTCCACTTGCTTTCCAGATGGCCAGGCCCTCAGCCTATTTTGATCTCTCAGCCTATTTTGATCTGTCTCTTTTTCTTCTTTCTCACATGTATGTGGCATGCATACATATATATGTGCATGTGTGTGTTGAGGTCCAAGATTGATGCTGTGACTCTTCCCTCCCTTGCTCTCTACCTAACTCTTTGTGGGGGAGTCCCTCAGTAAAACCCAGGACTTGTTGTTACAAGCCAGTATCCCTTAGCCAGCTTGCTTAGGACATTCTGTCTCTGCCTTCTGAGGCTAAAATTACAGGTGGGCCACCATACCCCTAGCCTGGATTCTAAGGATCTAAACTCTAGTCCTCTTGATTACATAGCAAGTATTTTAACTGCCAATCCATCTCCCTAGCCCCCATTCTCCCTCTTTTCCCTTTCTACATGAGTGCCTCCAGAACAGGGTAGTGTGGTAGAGCCCCAATAACTGGCATGCAGTTGCTCTTCTTGTCTGATGTCCAGGCATCCCTGAGAGATTACTTGATAAAGTCACCGTACTCTAGGAGTGAAGAGATGGCTCAGCAGTTAAGAGCATTTACTGTTCTTGCAAAGGGTCTGGGTTCAGTTCTCAGTACCCACATGGTGACTACCAACTGTCTGTAACTCCAGTTCCAGGAGCTGAAGCCTTCTGACCTCCATGGGCTCCTGCCTGCACATGATGTACATACATATACTCAGGTGCATATATTCACATAAATCTTTTAAAAAATACTTTATTAATTTTATCTTCTGTTTATGAGTGTATTGCCTGCATGTGTATCTTACAATGCTCGAGGGTGTCAGATCCCCTGGAACTGGAGTTACGGATGGTTGTTAGCCACCATAAGGGTGCTGGGACTTGAACCCAGGTCTTCTGCAAGAGCAGTCAGTACTCTTAACCACTGAGCTATCTCTCTAGCCCCATTCACATGAATCTTTTTTAAAAAAGGTACTATACCAAGAGGCTAGCAGACTGTTGCCCATGAGGATTTTGGAATAGCATACATCAAGTTAAGGCATAATGAGAATCCTGCTGCTGGAGATAAGAGAAAAGGGAGATAGGGAATAACCTTTGTCTGCTCAGCCCCTTACAGAAACTAAGCAATATGGACCCAGCCATGTTGGAGCGCCTCCTGAGTTTGGATCGCTTGCTGGGCTCTCAGGGAAGCCAAGGGACACCTCTGCTGAATACCCCAAAGCGAGAGCGAATGGTACTCATTAAGACAGTGGAGGAAAAGGACTTGGAGATTGAGGTAAATGTTGTGGAAGATGGTCTAAGATTCCAGTCAGCCTTGAGAACCATTCCTAGTATCTTCAGACAGAGAAGGGCACACAGAAGCTGGGCTAAAGTTTTCATCTTGTTCTAGAAGTTCTCTGGTGTGTGTGTGTGTGTGTGTGTGTGTGTGTGTGTGCGCGCGCGTGTGCGCGCGTGCGCGCGCGCGTGGGCGTGGTGGTGCACGCCTTTAATCCTAGCACTCAGGAGGCAGAGGCAGGCCGATCTCTGAGTTCAAGGCCAGCCTGGTCTACTTCAGAGATCTGCCTGCCTCCTTAGTGCTGGAATTAAAGGCATGTAGCACCATATCTAGCCTACTTGAAATTTGTTTTTTAAGATTTAAGCTGGGTGTGGTGGTGCATGCCTTTAATCCTAGCGCTTGGGTGGCAGAGGCAGGTGGATCTTTGTGAGTTAGAGGCCAGCCTGGTCTACATCGTGAGTTCCAGGACAGCTGGGGGCTACAGAGAGACCCTATCTCAAAAAGACCAAAAAAAATAATAATAATAATTTTATGTGTATGAGTATTTTTCCATTCCTGTAAGTATGCACCACGTGTGTAGTGCCTGTGAAGACCAGAAATGGGCATTGAATCCCCTGGAACTGGAGTTAGAGACCATTGTGAGCAACTATGTGGGTGCTGGGAACTGAACCTGGGTCTTCTGTAAGAGTAGCAAGTGCTCTTAAACATTGGGCCATCTTTCATTTTTTTTTTTTTTTGGTCTTTTTTGAGACAGGGTCTCCCTGTAGCTCCAGCTGACCTAGAACTTACAGAGATCCACCTGCCTCTGCCTCCCCAGTGCTGGGATTAAAGGTGTGCACAATGACGCTTGGCTTTCTTTTTCTTCGTTCCTAAATTTCATGAATTCATAAAAAATATCCCAGATCAATGCGTTTTAATCCTCCTCCCCACTCCCCCCCCCTTCATCCTGGTTAATCTGGAAGTAACATAATTCATAGCTCTCTTTGCTGTTAGCTACTACGCATAACCAGTCACGTAGATTATTCTTCAAACATTTTTGGTGAGATATTTCAAATACCTTTTGGAAAGAGGCACCTCAGAAGTGACAGTGATCTTGCTTTTGCTCCTTTGGATGGTGACAACCCCTCCATCGAGGTTCCCAGCCTTCCCTTCCCATTCACTTTCTCTCCTGGAGAAACTGTTCAAAACTGGCAGCATCCATGATTCCATCTTCTACAGGGTGGGTGCAGTCAAGGGTGAATGTCAAAACCTTTTTTTCTGCTCCCCTTGGCCACAACCGTTTTCACAGGCACCAGGGCAGCAGCGGAGACAGAAAGGGAGGGGACTGCACTGCACAGGCGCCAAGAGCTCACCTTGCGCCATCTTTCTAGCCCCTGCTTGAATATTCTTACTCCTCACATTAAAAATCTTGCTTGAGCCAGTCGTGGTGGTGCATGCCTTTGATCCCAGCACTCAGGAGGCAGAGGCAGGTGGATCTCTGTGAGTTCAAGGCCAGCCTGGTCTATATAGTGAGTTCCAGGACAGCTGGGGCTACAAGGAGACCCTGTCTTAAAAAAGACCAAAAAAAAAAACCCCAAAATTTATTTTTTACATGCATGAGTCTTTTGCCTGAAAGTATGTATTTGCACCACATGCGTGCTTGGTGCCCCCCCCAAAAAAAAATCTTGCTTGAAGGCTTATTCCACCACTAGGCAACCCCTGATCATAAGAAAGGCCCTAGTTATCTTGAGCTCTACCGTTTCCTAATAGATTGTCTCACTGGTCGTTCATCTGTTCTCTTGGACCACTTCTACTACTATGGGGTTGAGTCTGGGTCATCTCTCTCTGATCCTTTCCAACAGAGGCTTAAGATGAAGCAAAAAGAACTGGAGGCCAAGGTCCTGGCCCAAGAGGCTTTGGATCCAAAGGAGAAAGAGAACTCTCTCACAGTGCACCGACCCCTTCCCCGTCGTACAGTCACAGGGGCAAAACCCCTGAAAAAGGCTGTGGTGATGCCCCTGCAACTGAGTAAGTTTACTTCCAGGGTCCAGGAAGACCCAGATAAATGATACCCCACAAGTGAAGAGATGTAAGGAACAGCTGTTGTCATGCCACCCATGTTCTCCCACTGCCAGGGATGACTGACAAGGATCTGAAGGAGTCCTGAGTGCTTGTCCTAGGGTGTTGACAGTGGAGGCTGGGTGTGGTGGCTCACACCTGTGATCCCAACACTCAGAAGACTGAGCCTGAAGGGTTGCTGAGTGCCTGAGACCAGTCTGGGCTGCACAAGAGTCAGCCTCAATTAAAGAATGAGATCCTGTCTCAACCTAAAGAATTAGCCACCTGGAATCAACAAAAGCTCAGGATTGAAGGAGAGCTAGAGACATCAGAAATGGGAGAAAGAAGCATACCAGGGAATGAGAAAAGTGGCCTGTGCTGACTCTAATTCTTGCTTTCAGTTCAGGAGCAGGCAGCATCCCCAAAGACTGAAATCCACATCCTGAAGAAGAGAGGCCGCAAAAGAAAGGTCAGCTGGGGTCTCAGGCTGTATTTCACACCCTGGAGAGGAATTCTGGGCTCTAGAGGCAGGGCACTTTGTCTCACTGTTTACAAATTTTCCAGCTGAGTAACCCTTCTGTATATGATGCCTTGGGTATTTTGAGTGAAACACAATGATGTGGGTGTATCTAAGAATGGGTGTCTACCACCTGTCAGTTTTCTTTCTTCCTGATGCCTCTGGTCCTCAGTCTGGCTACTGGCTGGCTGTACTTTGTAGCTTAGCTCCTGCCCTCTATAAACTATAGTGCAAAGGGAACTGTGACTTGGGCACTCAGTAATCTCTGACATTACTCTTCACCCAAAATACCACTAGAACTACCCCCAAACAGACAGGACAGGGGAGGTGTTTACTGTCTTCTCTGAAGTCCTTTGCCCCCACTTCCTCTGCTGGGGATTGAACCCAGGTCAAGTATGCAGTGTAAGTGCTCTACCACTGAACTGCAGTCCCAGATTACATTCAGTCATTGAATCTCTTATTTTTTTTATTTTTATTTTTTGTCTTTTTGAGGCAGGGTCTCCGTGTAGCCCCAGCTGTCCTAGAACTCACTATGTAGACCAGGCTGGCCTTGAACTCACAGAGATCCGCCTGCCTCTGCCTCCCAAGTGCTGAGACCAAAGGCCTGCACCATCACACCCGGCTGAATCCCTTTTTTAAAAAATGTTTATGAGTATATTGCCTGCGTGCATGTAAGTGAACCCGTATTGTGCAATGCCCGTGGAGGTCAGAAGAGGGTGTCCTATCCCCTGGAACTGTGTGGGGTCTCTCTCTTTCCTTGTGGGTCGTTGGCCACCGGTCCATGAGGACAAAGGGAGCAGAAGCGATGAACGGGGTCAGGATGGCCAGTGAGCACTCACGAAGAAAGCCCTTCCGAGGAGGCAGATTCAGTGATACAAACAGCTCCAGACTCAGTGAAACAGCTCCGTTTATTCAGTGGGGGTTAGGGAAAATGTAGTGTGGAGGCAGTAGCCAATGCTTCAGCTGATAAGGGGGGTCACAGTATGCTTTATTTACATGTGGCAGTAGTTTCCTATCATCCAATACCCGGCAATGCCTAATTATCATATAGAAAAAAACCTGGGGGTAGTTTTCACTCCAGGTAACTATGCCAAAGGTCATGTTCCAAATGTCAGCCACCCCGCTTGGCAGCCCTTTCCAGGTAAGTCAGGTAGAGAGCAAGAGGCCTCCTGCTGAGAAGGGGAGTCCTTTCATATAGCACTGAGCCCCTTAGAGCTATCCGGACATGGAGGACTACAACCCTAGCAGCAGGGTTCCCCAACAGGAGTTACAGATGGTTGTTAGCCACCATGTGGGTACTGGGAATTGAACTTGGGTCCTCTGCAAGAGCAGCCAGAACCACTGAGCCAGCTCTTCAGCCCCAATTCATTGAATCTTAGTAACTATGAGAAAGGTGCTACTCATATACAACTGTGACAAAATTGTAACTCAGAAGGTGACCAGAGGGGAGATGGGGGAGAGAGGTAGGTGCCTAGTTGGCCAATGGGCTTTAGCAATTTCTGTCATCTCAGGTGGAGTCCTCTCAAGTGTCAGAGCCAGTGGAAAAGGCCTCTGAAGACTGCTGGGAACTACAGATTAGCCCAGAGTTACTGGCCCATGGGCGCCAAAAAATACTGGATCTGCTGAATAAAGGCTCGGCCAGAGATCTGCGCAGTCTGCAGCGCATTGGCCAGAAGAAGGCCCAGCTCATCGTGGGCTGGAGGGAGCTCCACGGCCCCTTCAGTCAGGTAATCAGAGTAGCCAGGGCGGTGTGGGGGTGGGAATCCCTGTTCCCCCTCTACTTCTTCCCTATTCCATGTTGTCAAGCCAGGTGGAAGACTTGGAACGTGTGGAGGGCATCTCTGGGAAACAGATGGAGTCTTTCCTGAAGGTAAGTGTGCTGCCCGTCGTGCCCGCACTCCCAGCCCGTCCCTGCAGTAACAGCTCTCCCCTTCCTTGCAGGCGAACCTCCTGAGCTTGGCTGCCGGCCCGCGCTGTGGTCCCTGACTACCAGCTCCTCTCAACTCCCCCTCCCCACTTCAAGTCCTTGTATAATTGCGTATTCTGTAAATACAGTTTTAACTCTGCGCTTCAGCCTCATTTGGGAGGGGGGAGGCGGGGCTGGGGTGGGAGCCATAATTGCCCTTGTGATCCGCCTGGAACTCTGCGGGAAACTTCTCCGGCCGCCATCTTTGGGAAACCCCCGAACGCACAGGATTGTAAATAAACCGCTGAAATAGGGAGAGGACGGTAGCCGAGAAGAATCAAAAGGCTGAAGCGCAAGCCCAAGAACAACGACCGTTAGGCGGGTGCGCGCTCCGTCTAGCTCCGCCCCGCTGCAACCCCCTACGCGCGCTCCCCATTCTCCCGCTCAGCTACGACATCGGTGTGTGCGCGTGCGCGTGCAATAACGGCCGCTGGCGGAGGGAAGTGGGGGGTAGAATCGTTGGAAGTGGGGGGAGAGAAGCCGCCTTGTCTCCCGGGCGCCCACCACCTGCACCATCGCCAGCCAATCAGCGGCCGTCTCAGGGGTCTCGCACTCGGGGCGACTCGGGCTGCCTGGTGGCTCCTCGTCCCTCCTCCCTCCAGAGTCCCTCTCCAGCCTCCCCCTCCCGCTGGCCGCGCGCGCACGCTCGCGCACGCTCCAGCCTCTTGTGTGTCCTCGCGCCCCCCGCCCGCCCTCCTGCGCGCTGAGCGCTCCGT